AAGACAAGTTCAACTTTTTCCTTATAAAATGTCACAAACTTGACTCAGCAGAATATAACTTGCACTGCTGGAATCTTTGTAAGATGGCAATTAATTTGGGTGTAAACGTCTATAGTTTGCACTATATAAAATAATTTTAGTACAGTAATTACAAGCCATCATGTATCAATTAATTTTAAAATAGAAATTATAAAGTCAAATGTTATAAGACAAAGGTTTAGTAGTGCTATTAATTTGTGCTGTGTAAGTGTCTTGGCATGTCAACTCACCTACTGCCTCGTCACCTCACCTACTGCCTCGTCACCTTACCTACTGCCTCGTCACCACACCTACTGACTCGTCACCTCACCTACTGCCTCGTCACCTCACCTACTGCCTCGTCACCTCACCTACTGCCACGTCACCTCACCTACTGCCTCGTCACCTCATCTACTGCCCCGTCACCTCACCTACTGCCTCATCATCTCACCTACTGCCTCGTCAGGCTAGGTCAGGTCTCCCCCAAAAAATACTTTAACTTTCATCTTTATTCAAGACATTTTCAGAAAATTCTCTCGAGTTTTAATATCGGAAAATTTGTTCCTAAAGCCTGAATTTTTTTAAATTCCAGCTTTGGGAATGGGCAGCAGAAGGAATAAATAAAGAAGATAAGAAACTGAATAAAATAAGTACCTTGATAAGTCGAAATACAAAATAAAACTTAAAAACAAGTAGAAAGAAAAAAGGAAAAGATAAATAAATAATTAAACACCGCCCTTATAGCTTGTCATATAAACCATTCCACAAATAATTATAGAGATATTTGTTTTAATATTGTTTTAACGATGCCATAGTATGTTCACACCTGCGAGTTTCCTTCTGTTCAATGTTAACAAACACAGCACTGCTACACTGCAAAAAACCTGACGAGCCCCTGTAAATGCACATGAAGGGGACTGTACAGCAGTATATACTGTAAAAGTAAATGCCTTGACTTAAAAACTAAAAAAAATTTTTGTATATACAGCCACTCCTCGACTTACGACCACCCGGACATACGACCGCCCCAGTCGTACCAAATTTTTTTCAAATTGCGTATTTTCGAGTCCTGACGTTAGTGATTGCGCTGTGCACAGACAAATTTTTTTATGTAATTCCCTTTAAAATGGCTGGCAAGCTTAAAAGTGAGAGTTCTCGTGGTGCTGAGAAGAAAAAGAGAGACCCATTTTAGATTTTCTATGTATTATTTTCGCATTTTTGACTTACGACCTGGAATTGGGTCCCTAACCCCGTCGTAAGTCGGGGACTGCCTGTACAGTATGTTATTTAAGTTATTTCATTTTATTTTACTAAAATATACTTTATGTACACGATCAAATTATTCAATTCAGCAATCTCTGTTAGGTTAGGTAATGGGGATATTTCTTTGAGCATTCCGAGAAATTATGGAAAAAATCTCAACATTTCGGGTATCTGAACGAATTCCTGAGGAATACATCATGCTTATTTCCAGAAAATTCCAAGAAAATCTCTACGTTCCTAGCATTCATGCTTCCGATGTGGGGACGAGTGCCAGGCGCGTATGTGGATAGGCTCAGAGTGCTCGTGAGCTACAGGAACACCCTAGTTATTGCAAAAGATGTGTTCTTAAAAGACTTTGCAATTAATAAAACTGCAAATATTGGGACAATTTTCCTCCAAAGAATTAATGTAAATGGGGGGGGATGAGTTCCCAGCCGGCAATTTTCACCACATATTTATTGATATTCACTCCTTATTATCCAAGGCTATTAGATACCAGGGTCACGTGCATACTGCTGTACCAGTAAATGCGAGGAATAAATAAAAATTATACTAATAAACAAAATAAAAGAAAAACCACACTACCAGTAGTAAATAGTAGGTTCAATACCCACGGGAGACTGAAGGGACAGAGGCCTGCCACGTGATGGTCTAAAAGCACATTGAGATTCTGGGAGGAAATTTTCCGCCTCAGGAAGTCTGTTTAGGAGGACTCAGGCGATAATTTGGCCATCTATGGACAGCAGCGAGATCCCGCGGTAGTTGCCATAGTCTGATCGGTCTCCCTTGTTGTTACAAATATTGACGTTGGAGGCTTCTTTAACCCCTACGCCCCGGTTGACGTTCCAGAATGCATGCCTTATCGTGGCATTGTTTTAATGCCCAACACGGGTTATCAGGTTCCAGTGTGACTATTTGCCTGCCACGCCACACGCTCGGCCACTGGGAAGCTTTCCGAGTCTAAGTACCTACTTTTGTTTGTTTCATTTTCATAGTTTTGTCCATTTTATCATGTTGTATCAAAGTAATACTGTTTTGCTAAAAGTAGTGTATTTGTATTGTACAGTGGTAATCCCAGTAGCCGGAACAATTGGTGCACAGCACTTCCGGGGATGAGAGATTTCCAGGTAACCAGATGACTCTCTCAAAGCTGGAAAAAAATCCCTCATCCCAGGAGTTTTCCGGGTAACGGAAAAAAAATTCTCAGAAGTTCCAAAAATTGCCCATTACATCATCTCTCGAACCTGGAAAAATATCCCTCATTCCGGGAATTTTCGGGGTAACGGAAATTTTTTTCAGAATTTCCAGAAAATGCGCCTGATTATCATCTCTCAAATACGGAAAAAACTCCCCCATCCCCGGAATTTTACAGAATTTTCCGGCTATCGGGAAAATTTTCTCAGAATTTTCCAGAAAATGTGCCCCTCGGAGAGTTCTGGGTTTGGGGGATTCCGGCTAACGGAGATATTACTGGTGTAGTTATTACTGGAAAATAATGCTATGATTATGTTATAAATGTATTTGTTTATGGAATTATTATTCCGATAATTATTTATATGCATTACTTGCTCTACCAAACACAAAGACAGCCAGACACCCTGGCGACAGACTACTGTGTCGCTGAGCACTTTTTATGAAAAATAATGCAAATAAAATATTCTAAATTAATTATTTATAGAAAATATGTACAATATTATGATCAGTAAATATTTGAATTACTGACCATCTCGGACACAAAGGTAAGCAGAAAATGGCCGCTAAGTGCGTAGTGACCACAAATGCTAGCCGTTAAAACAACACTGTCCCCTTATCTTCTTCGCCACTGCGGCCCCAGGGAAGTTTCTAGAGGGTCAATATATAGTTTTTCTTACTTTTTTTTATTGTTTAATCATTTCAAATGGTTAACATTTATTTTTGGATAAGTTGATTTTTCTCGATTTACACAGCGTGGGGGTTACTGCCAGAGACACCCTAGCCCGGGGCGTAGGGGTTAAGAGCTTGGAGGATTTCCTCCTTTTCCCATATATTCTCCAGGAGAGAGTGGAGATGGTTGGTAAGCAGAGGTCCTCCTGCTTTATACACCTTGGCTGGGATTCCACCAGGCCCTGAGGCTTTGTTATTTTTCAACTGTTTGATGGCAGTAGCTACCTCATCCAGTAGCTACTTATGGCATTGAAGTCACCTAGGAGCACAACCTTATCTTCTCTGGGATACAGGTTAGCACTCTGTTCTAGGTCGGCATAAAAGGCCTCCTTGATGTCATCCTCTGCATCCAGTGTTGGGGCGTATGCACTGATGAAGAAGGCATGACGTGAGTGATTCAGTGGAACTCGGAGCATCACGTTGATCCCAATAGGCATTTCAGTTAGCCTATGTAGGATGCATTAGTGGATAGCAAAGCCAACTCCATAAATGCTGTTTCTCTCCATACAGTGACCATAAGAGGCTGTATAGTTTATTTTTGTTTTTATCTGTGATTATGATTGTGTTTTCGACCTCATAAGGTTGACCTTACTGTACTGGGTGCGGTTGCCCAGTCAGGTTGGTTCTTTAAGCAGGTATGTTTTGGGCACCTTTTCTAGCCCCTCCCTGTGTGGGGTGAGCAGAGTGGGTCCTCGAGAGAGCTGTTCCGTTGCAAAGACAGGACTAGATTGCACTGCTGCCTAAATCCCAGTGCATAGACGACCATCTTATCTGTGCCGCCCATGTGCAGAGTTGTGACTCGAGACTCCCGGCAGTCATCTTTGTCTGTCCTCACTGCCATTCGTCCATCGCCATAGGACTTTTGGCCACATAACCCCAACACCACCCACACCCCCCAAAATCACACTCACACCCCCCAAAATCACACCCACAAACACCATCCAACACCACCTAAAAATATTTTTTGCACATTGTTTGAAAAATTGTGTATACCTGTACATGTACTGTAACAGCAAAATAAAAATAAAAATAAAAATTACGTATGTTTACCAGACATTACAAGTTGAAAAATAACCGCTGAGTACTACATCTGGCGTCCTGGAATTATCCACACCCTTCTCCTCCTCCAGTGCAGGTAAGTGTTAATTTTGGTGTAAGTTTTGTGATTATGGCAAGTTATTTTGGCCAAAAAGCTGGGTACAGTACTGTGATGGGGTGAGATGAAAGGCTGAGAAGGAAGTGCAACGATATTTTGGGTTTACTGTAAACTTGTTTGGGCTTTTCAGGGTTTCAGAAAAAGAAACTATTTTTCCACACTTGTATTGGAATTTCTCAGCAGGTATTTGACCAATTACAATAAAATAAAAACTCAGCACAAGAAGAACCTTTCCTCAACATAAGTACAACTTCCAATTTCTCCTATTTTGAAGGATTTACTTTTGTTTGAATATTTATCTCTATATTTTGACCAAGTTTGAAAAAATCATATGTCCAAAACTACAAACTGACATATTATAAAGCTATGTTCAATGACAATAATAGATTTCTTGGCATTATCAATTTCAAGGCAAAGGATAGAATAGATAAAGAGAAATTCTACCGTGAAAATTTAGAAAAGAGTGAGAAGGGGTGAAAAGGGAGAGAAAAATGAAAGGGTAGAAGGGATTTAAAGTGGCTAGAATTTATGTACAGTACAGTACATGTGACCCTTGATTGATGACAGGAATATCACAACAATAGACCAAAATTAAAAGCACCAACTGTATGTCTTAAGCCAGATGCCACCCATAACTCACTTTTGGTGATGCAGCAGTTGATTTATATTTTCCACTCTCTACAGAAGTTGGTGATTGTTTTCTGCGTCTTGGATTTGAATGAGTTTTTGATGCTGATGTGGTTTTCTTTGATAGGTAAGCTGGTGACATTTTCTTAGGAGATGGCTTCTTACCCATAATTCTGGGTGGTCGTTTTTCTTCATCACCCTGTTTTTGACTAGATGCCATTGGGGTGTCCGTCCTTCAAGTAACTGTAGGAAATATATTAGTTTGATGTAAACAAGAAACTCATTCGAGGTCTACATTTTTAAAACAAAAATATTTAAGCAAAACAGAAAATATCCATATTAAATGCAGTACAATATGTATTGTACATCACTAGCCAGTATATATATATATATATATATATATATATATATATATATATATATATATATATATATATATATATATATATATATATATATATATATATATATATATATATATATATATATATATATATAAAGAATGCAAAGGGGCCCCGCAGTGGATGAATTGCCCTGGGCCCCGAACCCCCATTGGGACGGCTCTGCATATGACACTAAAATAACGTCTCTATATGCTTTGTACATGAAGAAATTAATTATTTACCATAAATACTCATGCAATAACCTGCCGAGTAAGTGCATGTGGTGGATAGCTCACTTTCTTTACAACCGACCCACTCAATCCGAGTACAGTGGTCCCTCGGTTAACGAATACCTCGGTTAACGAAATTTCGGTTAATGAATTACCTTCCATAAGAATCTTCAATTCGGTTAACAAACAAAAATTTGATTAACGAAATCCTTACGAAAATCACATTTTGTTTTGAACATCAGCTGATAAGCTGAGGAGGTACTCAGCCAATTCAATAATCTCTACTATGTTTACATTCGTTTCCAGTGGAGTAAATATAAAGAAAATTGTGCTTTTTAATATTTGTGCATTTTTTTATACAGTACAGTACTGTATTAAAAGTATTGGTCATTCTAAAAGTTAACCATCCAAGCTCTGTCTACATAAAGTTCTTCAACTATTATTTTTGGCTCGATATATGTAACTTTATTCATTTGTTGAAACTCATTTACATGCACACACTGTCCTAAGGACAAAGCTGAACTGTACATGTAATCAAAATAATGTCCAAAATGATTACTAAAATTTTTGTCTAGTGCAAACTATGGCATGTTTACATTCAAATTAATCACTATCTTATAAGAATTCCAGCAATGCAAATTATATTCTCCCCGGTCACTTCTGTGACATTTTATAAGCAAAATACATAAACTCAATCTGAAGGACATAAATAAACAAATTAATACTTCACCAGACCTTGGCACTAACTGTCAAACATGTCACTGTCACCCCTCCCTCCCTCCCAAACCCCCTCCCAGCAAAGGTTTCTGGTTATACTCACAGATGATCTTCTGGAAGAGGCTCACGCCTGTGACTCCAGCTCAATAGCCTCGTCTCTACTCTGACGGTGGCTGCGTGTGGCGGATATACAATAGGCTTTAATCTTATATAATATCTCAGACTAAAGTTAGCAGAATATAATTTGCATTGCTGGAATCCTTGCAAGACAGCGAATAATTTGAATATAAATGTCATATATTTTGCACAAGAGATAAAATTAATCACCTGTATCACATTACAGTAGTGATTTATGAGTTCTATTACATATATATATATATATATATATATATATATATATATATATATATATATATATTATATATATATATATAATATATATATAATATATATATAATATATATAATATATATATATATATATATATATAATATATATTATATATATAATATATATATATATAATATATAATATATATATATATAATATATATATATATATATATATATATATATTTAAAATTTTAGGAGTGTTTCTGACTTTATGCATTTTTGGCTTTACTTTTTTTTTCTTTTTTTTTATTGGGCACCCCCCTACATCCCTGTGTAATATGAAGCGCAGAAGCGTCTACAGTGCCCAACAGGGAAGCATGCTAAGTTCATGCTTGCCTTTATGTCTCATGAGTTAAGGGCGTAGAAGCCTGAAGAGTCAAGGGCATAGAAGCCTGAAGAGTCAATGGTTTATGTTGTAGTGGATTCCTCCCCTACAAGCACCGAACCTTCTCGAATTCCCAAGCCTACGCCTCCAGCGCCGCCCACGGAGCGGGGATCGACTATCTACCCACGCCTACCCCCGCCTTATAAGGCCTGACACCGCTGTGACCAGCGCTCTTTCTACACAGTGCCACCAGCAAGCAACACCTCCTCCTCAGCGCCAGCCGGGCGGCTGCCGCTCCCGCCAGCGACCTTGGAGTCCCTCAAGCCGCGTGCCCTCACTCTGGGCACCCTCACCACCCAGCTCTCTCTACTCAACGCTTATTACCATGCTACCTACCCAGCAACATGCTGCATTGTACATCCAATGCAATATGTATACAGTGAGCACATTGTGAGTTTCCTTTCTCCATCCCATCCTGAGTGTGAACCAATATCTCATAACCCTACAATGTCATCAAGTTATTGGAAGCTCCAACAACTTGTCCCTGAATACGAATTCGCAACTTTCGATTTACACCAGGTACCTACTTTACTGCTAGGTGAACATGGACTAATGGGGGCTAGGAAGTATGTCCAAACAACTTCCACCGGCCCGGGAATCGAACCCGCGACATCTCGCTTGCGAAGGCAAGAGCGGTACCACTCTACCACCAGTACCCCCGGCTTTACTTTGTATATACTTTTCTGTGAGCTGGAACCAATTACCCAATATCCCATGGAAACAATGGTTTCGGTTAACGAAATTTTCGGTTAACGAACATCCCTCTGGAACGAATTGAGTTCGTTAACCGAGGGACCACTATATACTGTACTCTCACGTCCACAAAAAACATAAAATTACAGCCATGATGCTTCAACAAAGTTACTTTCACAGGTACCAGATATTAAAATAAGTACATTCTCCTTAATATGTCTAGGAAGTTATGTTAGGTTAAGTAGGTTTCTTTGCTTGGTTAGGTCAGGTTCTATTAGGTTCATTATTATTCACTTGCGACAGAAGTGTATAGAATGAAAGTTAGAATGATAAGATTTATCGATTGCATGTGTTAAAAAGGATACACCCAATTTCGTCACCAATATCAAATCCGTTTCGTCACCACTAACAGTCGCTGGTATTAGTGACAAATTGTAAGATATTATTTTACACAAATAGAAATTACACATGCATGCAGACGACTCGAGAAGTATTATGTTATTATTATACATGAATATTAATTATTTAGTAAATAAAATGATTAAAAAACATTGTTGATAAACAAAATACAGAACAAATGAAGGTGATTTGGCACAAGCGCATAGATCACCGAGCATCAACAAATACTCTTGCTCTATACTGTACCTCCTTGTCCCTCTTCTTCACAGAGAAGCCTTAATGGTTGATTTGCAATTACAACTATTGGCTGAGCACAAGCTAACATCGTGCATAAGAAAAGCATATCATGACAAACAAGTCCATCTCTGGAAGCTGTGGGATGAATATGAAGAAAAAAATATCACCACTTCTAATTTCCTAAAAAAAATTGTCAGTGTCTTCTTCCAAGCTTGCATGAGTATTAACAATGTTTTTATTCCAAGCTTGCATGAGTATTCAAGCAGTTTAAATGTATTCAATGATGGTATTAATTTTTGTGGTTTTTTTTTGTGTTTTTTTTTGTTGGGTTGTTTTTGTTGTTTGTTTTTGTGGTTTTGTTTTTGTTGTGGTTTGTTTTTTGTGTTTTTTGTTGTGTTTTGTTTTGTTTTTAAAATGTTTTATTCAAGCTTAGTATTAACACTGTTTTTATTCCAAGCTTGCATGAGTATTAACAATATTTCATTTGAGTTCTTCTTGATCAACTTATAAACAGTTTGTCAACACTCAAGCATAAAGAAATTTATCATTAACAAAACTGAAATTCAGTCCAAGGGAAACAAATCTAGGTTAATATTTGTCCATTGGCTGTCTGCAGGTTAGGTTAAGTTAGGTAGGTAGGTTTTTTGGTATAAGAATAGGCTTCTTTTTGGTGATTTAATCAAGTCTTACCTCCATTTTTGTGCAAATTAGTGGTTTCTGTTAAAAGCGAAAATTTAAATTTTTTGTAAAACCGCTAATTTGCTCAAGAAATGAAGGTCAGATTTGAGTAAAACACCAAAAAGCCTAATCTCGTACCAAAATCTGAGGGTATTTTTGCGTAAGTTCACACAACTTTCCTACCCCAAATCTATAATCATAGTCGAATAAGACATCTAATTATAAGATAATTTTCTTTTATTACATTACCATTGCAAACGTATAATAAAGGAGATAGTGCATGCCAGATATTTCTCTATTTTCTTCCATTAATCTTCCGCCATTATCGCCTACCTGACCTCCCACTGTGCATGTTTCCTTCATAAATCATCATGCGCATGCGTTCCCATAAACGTCACGCGGGCAATCAAAAGCGTTTTTTTTTCCTCCCACCTATTAAAAAGATTAGTGGTTTAATTCGCGGTATCTTTTGCCCAATCAGATTCGATTTTTATTTTGAGTCTCTCATACTTCAAAATTCAAATTCATTTCCGACTATTGAAGTCTGCGATGGGTGTCACTTCAATTACAGTATATGGAGTTGATTGCACGTTTTGGGTAAAAAAACAAAAAACAACAAGCAATATTATTTTTTAGATCTCATAGTGTTCTCCCGACCTCAGTAAAGTGTCCTAAGTGTAAGAACGAATGTAAATATTATCAAGACCAACATATGTGGCATTGTGGTAACTCGTTCCTTATTTCCAAGACGAAGAAGAGACGTTGGTGTTCATACACCATCGGTGATTACAAAGGAGCATTTTTAGCAAAGTGCCATTTTCACCTGTGCTAATCTCAGAATCGAATGACGAACCAGAACCAGGCCAATAAGGTAAGAAATAAGTGATTCGATCATATGGTGAGCTTGGTTAGGTCAGGTTAGGTTGGGTTGGGTTAGGTTAGGTTAGGTTAGGTTAGGTAAGGTAATTTTAGGTTAGGTTAGGTTACATGCCTGTTTTTCTCGTGTTTTTTGTGTATTTTGTATTCGATTGGCCATAATTTGGGTTGGAAAATACCCCACCCTAAACCCTCGACAACTAAAAAACAGCCAATTTCCGACGGATATCAAGGTCAAACCCAGTCAAAATACACAGAAATACACTAGAAAAACATGGTATTGACTTTCTAACAGAGTTGTGTGAACTACTGCAAATTTACCAATTTGAGGACAGCCAATGGACGAATATATACACAACTCTAAAATCAATAAAATTAAGTTAAAAAGTTTGCCGAATATTGAAGTTATGTACAGTCGGGGTCAAAAGCCTTGAACATTTAGCAATATCTGGCATCCACTTCTGAGTTACACATATATGATTGGGATATACTAATAACAACATACAAGATACTGTAGTATGTGGCATATATGACCAGGCATGTGCAGCAGGAATGTTCCCGATGAGGGAGGCTGACACTACCCGGGGGAACACAAAGAAGATCTACAAAACAAGAGCGAGGCTAAATCTCTGAAGACATTCGAATGGGTTACCTGAGAGGGTAGTGAATGTGGAGGCGGTGGAAAAGTTTGAAGCAAAATTAGATAAATACTGGAAAAATCAAGAACAAGCATATAATTATAGATCACAAATATCCGTCACACGCAGCCACCGACTGAGTAGAGACGAGGCTACTGAGCTGGAGTCACACCAGAAGATCATCCGTGAGTATAACACTACTTATCACATATTATGCCTCAACCACAAAATTGGATAAAACTCTCCTTAATACCTAAAATTTTCAGGTACTTACATGCCAAATACTGTCAAGTGTTCAAGACTTTTGACCCTGACTGTACATAATGATTTAATTGACAAAGCCAGGGACTCCCTCAGGGTGAACCCAAGATTTCTTCGTCTACCTCAAGGATAAATACGCTGAACGAATGGTATATATCTTATCTGTATTGATATGGTTGCTGATATTAAGCTGACAACACCTGTTACCTTACTCTACTTGTGTGCACTACATGGGTGAGTCAACACTTCCCTCCTCGTTCAAACTCCTCAATGTTTTGATTCTGGCTCACCTCACTCGCTGATTGGCTGGTCATACTCCTCTCTGATTGGCTAAACACAAGCCTTACGTTTGTGTTGACAGAAACAAACTAAAATTGTTCAAAATTAGATATTTAAAGTGAAATTATACATATAACGATTAGTTAATGCTAATATAAATTAATTTTTGCCGTATTTATGATCTATATATCTCATAAATCAATATATATTATTCAAGATACATAAATGTATTAATCTTAGCGACTTCGATCTAAAAATTCCTCCATTTTCACACATTTATTTTATGGCGAGTTGATTTGTAACCAGAGTGAGATATGAGCGAGCTTTGGCTTTACGTCCCCCTTCAGGTGGTGGTATATTACTAGGCAAGACCTTAGAGCCAGCCAGGTGAGGGTGCAGGGAGAGGATGTTTTTGAAGAATCTAAGTGGTGTAATATGAAATTAAGGGGAGAGACTTTTTACTTTTACTTTTATTTTTATCCTCTTCACCACTGATCAGCTCTTCAGCCGCTTGGGCGATCGGTCATTCTACGCACTGTTGGCAAGTACTAGGCATGTACTGGCGCTCTGTTGCGCACTGTTGGCAAGTACTGGGTATGCACCGGCTCCTGAATGTGCCTGAACCCGCTCCAGTGTTGGTCAAGTCTTGTCTTGAAAGAGCTCACACTCGGTGCCGTCATAACACTCTCTGGTAGATTGTTCCAAGAGTTTACAACTCTGACTCCGAAAAAGTTTGCCCTCACAGTTTTCTGGACTTGTGGCTTCTTCAATCTTGAGCTGTGACCCCTTGTGGGGCGAGCGTCCGCCAGCTCCGAGTAAGGACACTCGACTGAGTAGTGCCCCCTGAGATGCTTATACACCTCAATTAGGTCACCCCTTACCGTCTCTAGTATAAGCTAAGCAAGTTCAGGCGCTCCAATCTCTCAGGGTAGTTGAGGTGTCGAAGTGCAGGCACCAGTCTGGTGGCCTTTCTTTGAACATTTTCAACCAACTGACATTCCCTAGCATATCTCGAGGACCAGACGGAGTGACAGTACTCCAGATGGGGAAGCACTTCACCCTTGAACGATCTTCTTATAAGACCCAATAATTTATTTGCCTGATTTAGCTTCTTCTCACAATAGCCCGAGAACTTCAGCTCATTGTCAACATACACACCTAGTTCCTTCTCACATTCAGTCACAAATAGAGCAGTTTCTTCATACCGTTGGGACATATGATACGCCTCCTTACCGTTGGTACGCCCCAGGTGCATCCTCTTACACTTAGTGACATTGAATCTCAGCAGCCATTTCTTCGACCATTCTTCAGCGTAGTGTCTGCGTTCTTGTGCCTTAATGAGTCAAGCCAGTGGATACCTCTCATCTCTTCCCTCATCCCGTTGTAATTTATTCTGTAATATTTGCACCTCGGCCTGGCCTTATCTTGAACTAGGTAACAGTTAAATCTGAATGACAACACTATGGTGACTGGTGCCAACTGGGGCAAGGTGTTCCAGTTTGGCCACCGTACCCTCCTCGTTTGTTATGATGAGGTCAAGTGGCCTGGGTGTTGGGTCTCTAACATGTTGGAACAGAAAATTATCTCTCAGAGTTTCTATAAAAAGAGCAGCAGGGTCATTCAAGTCATTTGGGGGTGAACTCATTTCTCCAGTCGATGTCGCCATAGTTAATGTCCCCCATGATAGGAGGTGGCTAGGGTTGAGCATCGCCGCCTCACAAGCGAACAGGCCAGGGCTGGGTGAAACTATGGGCAAGTTTCTTTACGCCATTTGCCTCTGTCTACCCAGCAGTAATTAGAAACCTGGACTATTTTTTTTTTATCGTGTACATTCTTAAATTACTATACAAAGGGTTTCGGACACTACAAAAAGCCTTGTTATAAATAGTGTTACATCATTAGAATTTTACACGTGGCATGTATATAATATACAAATATACAGAATATTAGAATATATATTATAAATAATCTTACTCACGCGATTTAATATATTTGTTTTGTAAAAGTGAAGGTATTTATAACTACATTTGATTGTTTACAAATTGCCAAGAAGATGTCGGCACTCGGCAAAATGATTAATGTTAAAAATTATTATAAACCACACAGAAACAAGCGTTTAAATGGCATGAACTGACCTAACCTAAATTTCTTTAAACAAATATATGATAGTAATTTTAGATAATGTTAGTCGGATGGTGTGCTGTCAAAATCCGTAAAATAGATGAAGTGTTTTGTACTCTGGTTCGTGGTATATTGTTAACATTGGTTATTTTATATTGTTTCAAACCTTGAGGGATGCAGCTGATGGTTGAGGAGGCCTAAACCACATTACCAGACGGTGCAGGTATAGTACATCATGGCAGATTATGACCCTACAAGTCTCAGGAATGTTTTGAATGCTTTGAAAAACAGCGAAAAATTGAAACATTGGGACAAACCTCCGAGAGATTTTGGTCCAGACAACCCAGAGGTAAGAGTTCAGCTTGTTAACAAGAGGGTTCAGCCTAACCTAACCTAGCTTTAACCTAACCTAATGTAGCATAACATAACACCTGCAGTATCTCTTATCTTTATTTTGATATTAAAAATAGGGTTTTCCGGTAAATTTGCACTTCCACCTCCCACTCTGTTAGAAAGTCAAAAATATATTTTTCTAGTGTATGTGTGTGTGTTTAGACCGAGTATGGCCTTCATTTATGGCGGAAATTAACCGGGTTTTTTTTATCAATTTTTTTTCGTTGCACGTTTTCCCCAAAAAATAATGGCTAAGCGAATAAACAATACACCAAATAGAAAAACAAAAACCTAACCTAACCTAACTGACTCTCACCATGTGATGGAATCACCTATTTCTTACCTTATTGCTGACGAGTTATGACAACGCCACATATGTTGTTCTTTGTGATATTTACATTCAGTCTTTCACTTAGGACACTTTACTGAGGTTGGAAGAACACCATGCGATCGAAAAAATGCTATAGTTTCTTCGTTTTTCCCCAAAACTCAATCAGCTCCATATAATTTAAGTGACACCCATCGCAGACTTCCATGGTCGGAAATGAAGTTGAATTTCGAAATATCATTATAGTAACTATTTTAAAAGAGGCAACATTTACGAGAATCTGACATAACCAACCAAAGAAACTACCTAAACTTACTTAACCTCCTAGCAGGGGCCCCCACCATATTAAACAGAAAGTACTTACAGTCAGTCCTCGACTTACGACGGGGTTATGGACCGACGACAAGGTCTTAAGTCGAATTGGTCGAAAATGCAAAAATAATACATGGAAATTCTAAAATGAAATACGGTACAGTAAAAGTAATCAATAATGAAACATTAATAAAGTGTTACTGTCCACTTACCTTTAATGTAGTCAGCTAAATGCACACAGGGCCTCAATAATTTTTTAATTAAACATGCAGACTACATTGATTGGATGAAGCAGAGGAGAAGACAGGGCTGGGTGGGTCATTAATTTCGCTTTCTTCAGACAGGCTAACATACTTGCTTGTTGATGGTATTGGATCATCTTTAGGGAGTGAAGAGGCAGCAGTGGTGGGGCTTGAGGAGACAGCAGTGGGGGACTTCTTAAAATATTTGTCCAATTTAGACTGCACAGTTTGCCTTTTCTTTTCATTGTAAATATCCCTGCAGCAAGCAAGTGCATCATGGATCAGTCTGTCAACTTTGGCAAAACACTCAACATTTTGATCCATTTCTTCAAACATTTGTATCCCCTTATTAATAGTAGCAAATGCCTCTGCCATTTGTTTTTCACTGAAAACTCTTTTGGGGGGGGGGTGCAGGTTCTTCTTCTACATTTTGTCTCTCTTCTTCCTCTACAATTTTCTGTGCATCTAGTTCAATAAGATCCTCGTTACTTAGCTCTTCTGCTACACCTTCCACCAACTGCTCAACATCTTCATTGTCAATTTCTAACTCCAGCTGTTGACCCATCAGCACTATCTTGTTACTAATCTCAGAAATTGCTTCATCTTCATTAAATCCTTTGAAACTGTTCACATATCTTTTCAGGACCTTCTTCCATATTCCATTCATGCACTGACCTGTAACCTCATCCCATGCTGCAGCTATGTTCTTTGTACATTGCAAAATGTTGTAGTCCTTCCAAAACTCTGACCGTTTTCTCACCTTCAGTAGCAGCAACAGCCTGAGTGAAGGTCGTACGTAAATAATACGCTTTAAAAGCAGCAATAGCACCTTGATCCATGGGTTGGTTGATAGAGGTAGTGTTAGGTGGAATGTAGAGTACCTTAACATCAGGGTGCAGGTCATCCAGGTGTGGTGGGTGTCCCGGAGCATAATCTAAAATTAATAAAATCTTGAACGCAACCCCTTGTTGCAGACAATACTCCTTGGCTCGTGGAATGAAACAACTCAGGAACCAATCCTCAAACAGTGCTAGGGTCATCCATGCTTTCTTATTATTGTGATAAAACACTGGCAGTGTGTGCTTGCTGACATTTTTAAAAGCCCATGGGTTCTCTGAATGATATATCATGAAGGGCTTTATCTTGAAACCAGCTACATTCCCCCCCAACGGAAGTGTTATTCGGTCCTTGAATCCCGGCATGGTCTTCGCCTCTTTGTGGCTGTATGTCCGTTCTGGCATGCGCTTCCAGAATAAGCCAGTTTCATCCACTTTAAACATTTGCTCAGGCAAATAATTTCTCTCCACGATGACACGATCTAGCTCCTCCTTAAAAGCTTCGGCAGCACCCACATCAGCACTGGCTGCCTCTCCACTCACCTTTACACTGTGCAAACTGTAACGTTTCTTAAACCTTTGGAACCACCCATGACTTGCTGTGAAAATTGTTGATCTCGTCGAGTGAGAGAAGCCAGGGTCGCGTGAAATGGTTGCTACCGTTTTTCCATTTTCATATTGCAATATTATTTTCATTTTCATCTCAAAAGTAATTGACTGTCTCTTTTTCTTCTCAGCACCACGAGAACTCTCACTTTTACGCTTGCCAGTCATTTTAAAGGGAATTAGAAAATTTTTTTTTGTCAGTACACAGCGCTGTCACTCACAACAACGACTGCCAAACACCAACTGAGCGGGCTACGGTGTGGATGCTGTACACCACGAGGCGGCCCGGCCCACGCTGTCGTACGGGTCACATTACGACAAAACGTTTTGCGACTTGAAAATACGTAATGTGAAAAATATTTTATACGACCATGGCGGTCGTATGTCCGAGTTGTCGTAGGTTGAGTATGTTGTAAGTCGTGGAGATACTTTAAGTATAAGTATATATTAAATGCATCCTTCGAAAGCGTGAATTTGCTACCCGAGTTTATCAGTTAATTCACGTATTGTATAATACTTCTGATAAACTTCCTTCATGCTTATGTTTGAAATAATGAAGGTATGTATCTTTATATAATTTAGATAAATATCTTTCTCGTCAGAAACGGTCATCCCAACGATTATGAATAAACTCATTTAGAAAGAATGGTCCCTCGGTTAACGAACACAATTCGTTCCAAATGGTCGTTCGTTAACCGAAAATTTTGTTAACCGAAACCATTGTTTCAATTGGATTGTGGGTAATTGGTTCAGCTCACCGAAAATTACATACAAACTAAAAATAAATGCATTAAAGTACACTTACTTTGAGGTGTGCATGTAGAAGGCTCCTGGTTGATGATGATGATGATGGGAATTAGAAGTGGGGGTGGAGGAGAAGGGAGAAGAGAAGGCAGTGGGGGTGGAAGAGAAGTCACCCCATGCTTCATGCTGCCATTTCATCCATAAAATTTTAAGTTCACTTCGTGTAATTCAAGATTATTTTCTTTAAATCAACACTGCACTGCACTATATATTGTCAATATGTAAAATAAATTTCAGAATGACCAATAATTGTACTGTAAAAATGTAAAAATAGTTTATGTTCAAAAAAGTCTCAAGCAAGATGTTACCTCCACTGAGCAGAGACACAAACTGATGCCATTCTGGGTGAGTCAAGTGGCTGTTTGGCGCGCTAAAAACTAGTTCCCTGTACTTCAACTATGTTAAATAATTGTTAAAATGACTAAAAAAATTTAATATAAGACTTGGAAAATTATTGAATAGTACAACCTTCTTGATATTTACTCAAATGGTAATGAATTTAAGCCCTAAAACCGATTACTGTATTGGCAGACTAATACTCAGCTGGTGAGCAGGCGAAAACATGTTGACACGATTTCGTAAGGATTTCGTTAACCGAATTTTTGTTCGTTAATCGAGTTGAAGATTCTTATGGAAGGTAATTCGTTAACCGAGGCGTTCGTTAACCGAGGGATCACTGTACATCATTACTCAGGACAAAATCGGACAGGTTTGCAACAGCCAATCAGCTGTAACTCTTGAGGAGGGGGCGCGGCATCTTTTCTCAGCCATGAAAAACACGCTATAGAACTAAACTCGGGAGAGTCGGGCGAATGATAGTTACAATTGGGGTAGGTGTAACCCAGTGACACACTCCCTACTTTGAGGTGTGTCAGATATATGGCCAAGAGTAACAAGAGTGGAACCGCAGCGGTTGCCACCTACCGAACGTGCAGCCCACTACCACAGCTTGAGCGTCCACCTCCAGGTTGTGTGATGGTTCGATCTCAGCAATGACAGCTTAGAAAGCTGTACATGGGGCTGGAAGGAGGTCAGTGGATCCCTTCAACCCATCATGACTGATAAAGATGCAGCACTTTCAAAGGTTCTGAAATTTATATGGTGCAAGTGCAAACAAATAGGAAAGAATCCATGCTGCACAAGTCAGTGTTCTTATCACAAATGGTTTAAAATGTGTAATGGCATGTGCAGGGTGTTGTGGTGAATCCTGCAACAACACTGAACCTGTCATGGTCATTGATGACGAAACTGATGTTCTGGAGACATAAAAAGTGCATAAAGATAATGTCATGTTGGTAGTAGGCAGCTACCAAACAAGGAGGTACTACTGCCTGGGAAGATATTGGAAGCATAATGTATTGTATAATGGTAGACCCTGCTGCCATATGGCATCACAAAAATTGTGACCAAGTTCCAGGTTGCTGATCTGTCTTACCTGCCACATTTATATACAATTGCAGGGTCTCAATTGTCTCTTACTATTGACAACACAACATATATAACCGTACTCACTCTTGATCTGTTCTATTCTTTTATTCTCCTATGATATCAGTTGACAATAATATTGAAGTGGGGCCTCCTCGGATGGGTCCCACTGGTCCGGAAGGTTGTGGACACCAGGGCCGACCTGATCATCATCAAACTACTGGGGCCTCAACTGACATCACCGCCGTTGCTGGAAGATCGCTTTTTTCACACTTTATTTTTCCAACATTTGCGGCCTGAGATCCAATTTTCCTTCTGTGGAGCACCATCTATTAACCTCTTCCCCAACCTCTTACTACTATCTGAACTTCAACTGACCAAAGCAGCTTCACCTAAACCTTTTGAAATCTCCAACTACAACCTTTATACCTACTTCCGTTCTAAGGGGGGTGTATGTGCCTACTGCAACACACGTACACCTATAGCTCGACTCACGAATCTTGAATCTTCCCTTTATGATGTCATCTGGCTCAAAATATCTCTACCAACAATGACTATTTTCCTTTGTTTCCTATACTGTTCTCCCAACTCTACCAACTATTTAGAACTCTTTGACTATCTCACTTCTTGCCATGAGTCGTTGCTATCCACACACCCCAACACCGAGATCCTCTAGCTAGGGAATTTCAATGTACATCATAGAGAGTGGCTTGGCTCTGCAAGGGATGACCCAGGTGGAGCTGAGGCACTCTCTTTTTCCTTACTTAATGATCTGGAACAAATAATTTATCACCCTACATGCGTTCCTGATGGACACGATCAACTTGCTAACATTCTTGATCTTTGTTTTACCTTTAACCCCTCACACTATTCACATTCAATTTCTGCCCCCTTAGGGTCTTCTGATCACAATTTTTTTTTTATTAAATCAAACTGGGCACTACCAGCTCCCCCACCCCCGTGTAAATGCCAACTATGGCACTATCAGAAGGCAAACTGGCAATCCTTGCGAGAATTCTTCTCCGACTTTCCTTGGGTTGAATGTTGCTTTTCCACTCTGGATGCCTCGGTATGTGCTGACAGCATTGCTGGGGTTATACAGGGTGGTATGAGTGCATTTATCCCATCTTCTACCCAAACTTTCACTTTACAATCATGGTTTGATCGCTCCTGTTCTCTTACATGTAGGGAGAGAGATTGGGCATATCAAACTATGAAACTATCTCCTTCTCCTATTACCCACTCCTCTTTCATTACTTTTAGAAATCGTTGTAAGGCTATTCTTCAAAGGGCCAAGCAGAACTTTATAAAAATAAAGACCGCTGTCCTGACTAACTCGTCTTCTAGTAAATCCTTCTGGTCCTTCACCAAAAACATCTGTAATAACTAATACACTCCCACTTTTCCTCCTCTCATCCAACCTGATAACTCTATAGCCAACTCTCCCCCTGATAAAGCCAATCTCTTTGGCACCTTGTACTCCTCTAACTCTACCTTAGATGATTCCGACTCTATCCCTCCTACCCCTGCTCCTCCTACTGAACCTATGCACTTTCCTATAATCTCTACTCGTAGGGTTGTTGGTGTGTTATCCAGATTGGATGTGAGCAAGGCGCTTGGACCGGACGGAATACCCCCTCGTGTTCTGAGGGAGTGTGCTGAAGATCTGGCCCCTGTGCTTGCTCACCTCTCTCGCCTTTGCCCCAAAACCCAAACTTTTCTTTCTTCTTGGAAGTATGCCTTGGTTCAGCCCATCCCAAAGAAGGGTCTCCATTCCAATCCCTCTAACTATCGCCCCATTGCCCTAACTTCATCTCTCTCTAAGATTTTTGAACTATCTTAAACTCTCATTTTCTCCGTCACCTTGAACGCCATTCTCTTTTGTCGGATTACCAGTATGGCATTCGCCAGGCGAGATCTACTAGTGATCTGCTCTCCTATTGCACCCATCTTTGGTCATCCTCTCTTAGGGATTATGGAGAAACTTTTGTCATGGCCTTCGACATATCCAGAGCATTTGACAGGGTATGGCACAAGTCTTTGCTTTCTAAACTTCCCTCTTATGGTTTCTCTCCCCCACTTTGTTTTCTAATTTCTAACTTCCTTGAGAACCGATCCATGGCAGTTGTTGTCGAGGGATCGATCTCTCTCTCTTTCTCTACCAGTAGTGGTGTCCCACGGGGTTCTGTTCTTTCACCTACTCTCGTCCTTCTTTTTATCAATGATTTACTTCACACTACAACTAATTCTATCCTTAAGCTGATGATTCTACTCTTCTTCACATTTTCCCCTTCCCCCTAATTCTCAGACTAGTCCTGTTTCTAGAGCTGATATCATACATCTATCAATGCGGATCTGTGCAGCATCTCTAATTGGGCAGGTAGAAACTTGGTTAAATTCAATAGTAATAAAACACAGTACTGTATTTGCCAATTACACTTTCCAAATTAGATGATCTCCCACCAATCACATTTCAGGATGCAATCATTCTGCCAAATTCTAAAGTAGATATACTAGGCCTCACCATTTCCTCTAATATGTCATGGAAGCCACACATCCTCAACATTGCTAAAGCTGGGAATGCTGTACAGATGCCATAGCTACTTCACTCCTGAGCAGTTGCTACAAGTTTATAAAGGATTCATTTGTCCTAACTTGGAGTACTGCTCTCCTATCTGGGGTGGCTTTTCTTCTGTCCAACTGTTAGATAGGGTGGAATCAATGGCATTTTGTCTTATTAACTCAACTCCTTTGGTTGATAATTAATCTTTCTTCCCTTTCTCTTCGCCGCAATGTTGCTTCACTCTCTCTCTTTTACAGGTACTTTAACGGGCAATGTTCGGTGGATTTGGCATCCTGTGTACAGCCAGCATGGCTGTGGGCTCATAACACTCATCTTGCCCACAGTGCAAATATACCATTTGCCGATAAGCACTACGTGTCCTTTAGTGAGTTAAAACAAACCATCACTGAACTCCAGTACTAGTATCTTATGTCTGATTTTAACAGGAACAGCATCAGTAAGCTTAATAGTTTCCTTATGATGCTTTCTGCAACACTCATTGTTTTTTCCTGTTAAAATCATGCCTAGTTCAATGATGGCTTGTTTTAATTCACATAGTTAAGGCACGGAAAAGGGTGTCCCAAATATGTATGAATCATGATGATTACAACAAAAACAACAGCAATAATACTGTATTAATAATATTAATAATACAGTATTTTTGCACCTAGATTTATGGTACAATACAGTACTAATAATAATAGACTTTCAATTTCTCTTTTAGGACTCTGACTATAATAGGAATGGTTTGAAGGACGTGGGAGACTTAAGCAACATTACCATCTCACCCGGATGTTCATTCATATTTGATGTTGATAGTGAAGAAGACCCTGAACCTAAATCTGCTAAATTTGGAACTTCCTGTGACATTTATAATGTGAGGTAAGACTCATATTAATGTTAAAAAAAAAGTCATTAAAATGAGTGTCATGTGTTGTTATGTACTGAAACTGATTTATATGACTTTCTGTACTGTACAGTATAACTTTACGTACTGTACTGTACTGGTTGGCGCACATCATTCCGCCAGCTGCTAAAGCTGTGGAATTAGAACCCAGATTAACCCCTAAAATAGTGGCATAGATTAATCAAAATAATAAGCTACTCCTTCCAGCTATAACCCTCTACTATAAGCACTTGGCTGGCTAAAGAATAGTACTGTGAACCCTCTTTGGTGAAGGGCTGCAGGTTTTAGTGTAGTGGTGTGATTCAAAATAACTTGACCTCAACTTTCGAAATTTTCCCTAAAATATAAATTTTGTACTTCACAGTTACAGTACATGTAGTACAGCATGCCCTTAAAATTCACGGGGATTAGGTTCTCGAAATGGCCACGAATAGCCAAATCCGCGAATAACATTGGCCGACGAAGGGGGGTACATTTTTACCCTTGTGAAAAGAAATGTATATTCCCTTTATGTGTTTGCCCTTAGGACAATTATTTCTTTTACCTGTATTGTATGTGTGTGTGCGATACGGGTAAAAGAAATAATTGTCCTAAAGGTAATATACATTTCTTTGTACTGTACACAAGTAAAATGTATCCAGACATTCCGCCCCCCACCCATCTGTAAATGTTATTCGTGGCCATTTTGAGAACCTAACCCCCACAAATTTGGGGGGCCCCCTGTACTGTATTGTAATGGACAAAGGCATAAAACTCACGTAACTATCATTACACAGGTTTTGAGTGCCTGTACACAAATTACACTTGTGTATGTTTGATCTAATAATTAAAAAAAATTAATTCCACTTGCATTTTTTTTTTCATTTTCCCATATTGTATCTAAATAAGTTTTAGTTAAAAGGGTAATACAAGTACAGTACAGTAATTCTCTCTAGATATGGGACCTCCAGTTACAGAAATTCAAATTAATGGGATCCAAAAATTTTGCATGGATTTGTTATTCGATAATGAATTTAAATTATCAGTCTTTGTGCCTTTCTTCAAAAGTTTGTTGGAGAGTGAATTTTTAATATAATTAAACACCCTAATGATTGTTTTTGTGTGATTTATCTGACTTGTCTCAATTTATACACAGTACTATTTCCATTTCCTTATTACTAACTTGTAATTATAATTTCCCCTAATACTATTTTTTCCACTGACTGTTTTTTTGTTACAATATAATTACGTATTATATCCTTAATGTATAAAGTATACAGTGAATCTGTGATAACCAATTTATGCAATTAACCCCTTCACTGAGCCTTAAGGCCTGAATTCAGAACAGTGATTTGAAACCGCATGAAGGTTTAAACCAAGGATTGAGTGAAGATTGAAGATTGTTGGTATTCAGAATGCTGACTTGAGCATACACAAAGATTTAAACCGGGTGTTGGGATCGGAATTGTTGATCCTCGCATTAATCCAGCCTGGAGGCAGGTTTGGCGGTCAATCCTTCAAGCAAGCCAACTTGAATTTTGACAGAGCGCGGTTTTCGGCGATATCATCAAATTGGAAATTTTGTAGAGAGAAGACTGATGGTAGATAGGCAGAATCCTATCAATTTTTATGATGACACGCAATTTAAACAACGATATAGGTTCAGCAAGGAAAATTTCCTTTATATTTTCTGTGATATGGAACATCTACTTGACAGACCTGTTGGCTATGGTTCACTTCTACATCCCATTCATCAGCTGATGATTGCTTTGAGATTCTTCGAACGAATAGTTTCTGTGTAAAAAAGATTCTGGTTACTGAATGAGTTATGGTAATGTGTTACACAACTTTTGTGTTTAGGGTCCATGAAGATCAAGTAGGTAAATGTAAAGAAAGCTGACGCTTCTTTATTTTGAGTGTTTTCCTTTAGGAAAACTATTTTGATTTTTTTTCTAATCAATGCTGAGTGCATTTTGATTTTAATGTATTAATAAAGGAAAGTATTTTTTTAACATTACTGATCAGGGGAAATGTGGGGTTAAAAGAACAGAAAGAAACCTAACCTAACTGAACCTAGCCAGGTTACTATGCCTTGCATTGATTCATCTTGCTTTGGTTATGAATGTTGACACCTGTCACGGATTATATTTACAATTTGTATGTAATTGTTCTTCCTCTATGAATTTCTTCGTTATCATATGACAGCTCAGCCACTTTGTAACACAGTACCATGAAACATTATAATTTGATCATAATTTGATTGTAATTATAGTAATAAAAGTAACTTTTGATGTGTAAGGAGAGATTTCTCCTCCGTAAAAGTTTGTCGAGTCATAGTTGCCGCCATAATCTTGTAAACATTACTCTTGATGGTGATTGGCTGTTGTAATGGTGTAGATGGAACATGATTAACTGCAATTTCAGTGTTCGAATCCTTGCTCGTAACTGAAGATAATGCAACAGATTACCCGATCTGGGGTTCAAGCCGATATTCTGAATATGGGTAATCCACTGCAGGAAATCTCGGCTCAAGGAATCCCGATTTGCACGCCTGAGCCGAGCTCAAATCCCAGACTCAAACTACCGTTCTGAATTCGGGCCTTAGGGTTTACACTTTACAGGATAGGATGAAAGAAGCCTGAAATAATTCAAAGTAATCATTCATCAGTACTGTACAGTATTATACTTGAGACTAACTAACAAATGTTCTAGAATTCATAAAAACATTAAGAAATATTTGGTGGTCACTGAACAAAAATTTGAGCTACCACAAGGTAACCACAGCTACCAGTAACCCACACAAGTATGGAAGATGGCTGTAAAATAATAATAATAGTGGTGATATGCAATGTCAGAGGTAAGCTGAAATAATTCTATTATTATTGGTGGTGGTACAGTATTTATTACTGTACAGTATTTATCTCACTGCTACTATATAAGGGTCATACACTCCATGGAAGAGCTAGAGCATTGTTAGACACTGTAGGTGAACAGGAGACTTCTTAGTACTGTACATCCACATCAAATAACTTAAGGGTATATCAGTCCTCTGTCCATCAACACACAGACTAGCAGTCCTCCATCTTTTCCATTATCCTACCACCATGTATGTTCATAACTTTAGTTCATTTTGAATCATGTACTGTAGTCCCTCTGCTAATCCCCTTCTCTGCACATGCATTTCCACCTGTCACACTCCATTTCCATTAATTTTGCCACTCTGCATTTCCTTACATTCCCGTCCACTTCCATATCACTAACTCAAATTTAATTCCTCTATCACTGCCACTCCATATCTCATATTAAAGCTTTTAATGCAGTTTTCCAGTTTTTCCAAAAACTCCTGTTCCTTCCTCTTCTCACTCCCTGGTGCACATACATACACACACACACAGTAACCCTTCTCTGTTCTCTCTCACCTTACACTTACTTTGATCTATAATATTCTGGGGCTGACTTCCTTATATCCTAGCACACAACTCTGTATTTCATTACTCACTAACATTACCACACCCTTTATTGTCTCTCCTCTTAGGTATACAGGTGCTCCCCGACTTACGACGGGGTTAGGGACCCAAATCCAGGTCGTAAGTCCGACAGATAAAAAAAATGAATTTTTTTTTTATTTTTTTTTTTTTTTTTTTTTTTTTTTTTTTTTCAAAATAAAATCTACAATGAAATACAGTACACTAAACGTAATAAATAATGAGGAATGGATACAGTACAGTAAAAGTAATAAATAATGAGGAATGGATACAGTGTGACTGAGCACTTACCTTAAATGTAGTCAGCTGAATGCACACAGGGCCCCCATAATTTTCTATTTACAGGATACATGGAGACTATATTAATTGGAAGAAGCAGAAGAGGAGACAGGGCTGGGTGGGTCATCAATGTCGCTTTCTTCAGACAGGTTTATGTGCTGTGGAAACTTGCTGGTTGAAGGTATTGGATCATCTTGAGGGAGTGAAGAGGCAGCACTGGTGGGGCGTGAGGAGACAGCACTGGGGGACTTCTTGAAATAGATGTCCAATTTAGACTGCACAGTTTGCTTTTTCTTTTCATTATAAATCTCCCTGTAGCAAGCTAGTGACTCTTGGACCATTCTGTCAACTTTGGCATAATGCTCATAATTTTGATCCATGCCATCAAACATTTGCATTCCTTTATTAATTGTAGCAAATACCTCTGCCATATGTTTCACTGAAAACTTTTTGGGGGGGTGCAGGTTCTTCTTTTACATTTTGTCTCTCTTCTTTCTCTGCAATTTTCTGTGCATCTAGTTCAGTAAGATCCTCGTTACTTAGCTCTTCTGCTACACCTTCCACCAACTGCTCAACATCTTCATTATCAATTTCTAACTCCAGCTGTTTACCTAACTCCACTATCTTGTTACTAATATCCGAAATAACTTAATTTTCATTAAATCCTTTGAAACTGTTCACATATCTTTTCAGGATTTTCTTCCATATTCCATTCATGCAATGTTTTGTAACCTGATCCCATGCTGCACTAATGTTCTTTATACATGACAAAATCTTTTACTCCTTCCAAAACTCTCTGAGCGTTTCTCACCTTCAGTAGCAGCAACAGCCTGAGTGAAGGTCGTGCGTAAATAATACGCTTTAAAGGCAGCAATAGCACCTTGATCCATGGGTTGGATGATAGAGGAAGTGTTAGGTGGAATGTACAGTACCTTAACATCAGGGTGCATGTCGTCCAGGTGTGGTGGGTGTCCTGGAGCATTATCCAAAATCAGTAAATTCTTGAATGGAATCTGTTGTTGCAGACAATACTCCTTGGCTCGTGGAATGAAACAAGTCATGAACCAATCCTCAGTCACTACTAGGGTCATCCAGGCTCTCTTATTACTGAGATAAAACACTGGCAGTGTGTGCTTGCTGACATGTTTAAAAGCCCTGGGGTTCTCTGAAAGATAGATCATGAAGGGCTTTAGCTTGAAACCAGCTACATTCCCCCCCAACAGAAGTGTAATTCTGTCCTTGAATCCTGGCATTGTTTTCGCCTCTTTGTGGATGTATGTCCGCTCAGGCATGCGCTTCCACAATAATCCAGTCTCATCCACATTGAATATTTGCTCAGGCAAATAATTCCCTTCTAACTCCTCCTTAAAAGCTTTGGCAGCACCAACATCGGCACTAACTGCCTCTCCACTCACCTTAACATTGTGTAGACTGTAGCATTTTTTAAATCTATCAAACATCCCATGACTTCCTGTAAAGGTTTGATCACATTCATCTCCTGCCTGCTCCTTCAGGCTTTGGAACAGGCTTCTTGCTTTAGCCTGTATGGTTAGAAGGCTTAAGGGTACATGCTTCTGTATCCAGTCTTCTATCCATATCACCAATAATTTTTCCATATCGTGAATAGGACCTTGTCTTCTCTTTGATATTATAGTTCCCTTTATAGGTGTTGTTCCTTTCAATACATCACGAATACGTTCCTTGTCCTTCAGAATAGTGGATATAGTCGAGTGTGAGAAACCTAGGTCGCGTGAGATTGTTGCTACTGTTTTTCCATTCTCATGCTGTGTTATTATCTTCATTTTCATCTCAAAAGTAATTGCCTGTCTCCTTTTCCTCGGAACACCACCAGCACTCTCACTTTTACACTTTCCAGTCATTATAAAGTCAATTAAATACGATAATAACATAAGTTCACAGCGCGATCAGTATAGGATACGATAGCCAAACACAAACTAAGCGCTCCACTGAGTGAGTGTACCCACGAGGTGACCCGAGACGCGCCACCCTCTCGCCCAAGACGGAAACGTTTTGGTATAGAAAATGCGCGCGTCATTTGAAAATATTTTTGGTCACGACTGCCGCGGTCGTATGTCCCGACGAACGTACCGTCAGAGCAGGTCGTAAGTACCAATGGATGTAAGTCCATGTGGTCGTAAGTCGGGGACTACCTGTATATCTTAATGACTTCATTGTCCATATAAAATCCCAGTCCATCTTTCCTTCACCTACAGCTTTATTTTGCACAAGACCAGGACATCCAGGTTTCTTTCTATCATTATAGTTTCAGTCATTCTCGTCGTCCCTGTAACTACAGCCACGCATTCAGACTCCCCCAGTCTTGCTTTGGATACAGGACATAGCTAACATATTTGTGCACAAAGAAGCATTCTTCGGCCTCCAAACATCTCCTCTGACAAACATTATACATTATGACCATGTTTTGGTATTTTGAATGTTAGTTCTGCTAATACACACAGCCTTTTCAATTACGTATACCATCACCAATCAACAAAATGGGAAAACGAACATTACATGTGTGTACAATACATTTGCTTCAGCACACAAGCATACTCCCAAAATGCATCTGCTTTGTTTCAGTAGCACCATACACATTTTGTGCAGTGTTGTGGTTTTTCAATTACTGTACTGTATTTTTTTTCTGTATTAATCATTAACAGTGGGTGAGAATTATATAGTATACTTAATTTATCTTTTATTCTTCATGTACTAAATTATTATGATTTGTGATATCAATTTATTCATTTATTTTTTGATAATTGTGTATTTATTAATCTTCTCTGTTTAAAAAACCCAGCTTGCATTGTATCTAGGGACCAGTTAATTATTTAAGTAATTGTTTCAGTTGGGTTTCTTGATCAAATATACAGTAGAACGTCGATATAGCACGAGATACGTTCCAAGGGAGGTCGCTTTAAACCGAATTCGTACTAAATCGAAGTGTTGTTTGTGGAATAATTTAGTTTGGTACCTGAGAGAAACACAAAATACTAAAAAGACAGAGTCTACCCAGATGCACCTCAGCCCATCTGGAATAAACAAAACATTGTTTTTTGTAGTACAGTATTATGTTAAAACAAACACTCATAAATCAACACAGCTAAAATTAAGATATGCAAAATGGTCTGTTTACTGGCTGGGAAGATGGGGGGGAGAGGTGAGGTGATATGTTTGACAGTTGATGCCAAGGTCTAATGCTTACGGTATTTATTTATCTGTCCTTAAGCGTGACTTTAAGTTTGTTTTTCCTCTTATAGAATGTCACTGAACTGACCTGGGTGAATATAATTAACATTGCTGGAATTCTTATAAGATAGTGATTAGTCTGAATATATACATGCTATAGTTTGCATTGGACATACAAATTTTAGTTTTAATTAATTTTTTACAAAGGGTTAAAATTTTTATCTCTTGTGTAAAATATATGACGTTTATATTCAAATTATTCACTGTCTTGCAAGGGTTCCAGCAATGCAAATTATATTTTCCTAACTTTAGTCTGTGATATTATATGAGATAAAAACTTGAAGCCTAAAACCACCCAACCCTGGCTGGGAAGAGGGGGGGAGGGAACAGTGACACGTTTCACAGTTGGGGCCGAAGGTCTAGTGAAGTACAGTATTTATTTGTTTATTTATGTCTTTTAGATTGAGTTTTTGTTTTTTGTTTATAAAATGTCACAAGTGACTGGGGAGAATATAATTTACATTGCACTAGACAAAAATTTTAGTAATCATTTAGTACATTATTTTGAGCACATGTACAGTACAGCTTGCCCCTTAGGACAGTGTAGCATGCCCAGAGAAACATGAGGCGCAAATTTTAAAATATGATGCGCCAGATTGATTCGCACAAAATAGGAAAGATTCGCTTTAAATTAAAACACTGTCCTTAATTGTGGGTGTCGCTTTAAATCAATAATCTTAAATTGAAGCGCTTTAAATCGACGTTCTACTGTACAAACACATTTTCAGGAACACATTCAGCTTCTAAACTGAGGCCGACCTGTACTATTAAATAATCGAGGACTGGATTTTTCAGTATGGAACCGGAAGAGGAGTTGCCAGAAGTTTCCCGGTGTAACTCCCTGGTGATAGCACAAAGGGCTCAAGAGCAGTGTAGAACACTGCAACAAATTGAAGTAATGTCCCTTGAGGAGGAGAACAGATACATAATTTATGTTAGTATTCTATGCATTTGTGTACAGTCAAAAATAAAAAATTCTGCACCTTTATGGTGTTATACAATATGATACACCGGACCAAGAATTCTGAACAACACTCATTTACGTGGGTGATTCATTTTAATTTCTCTGTATTAACTATATGTGATATCAAAAATACATCATACTGGTTATACAATGCATCACACAACCAGAAATACCAACCTTACCAAATTAACATGGCCTCAGTTACTGATCTGCAGAGGCCATCAGACCAAGGGGTGCAGAACACTTTTTTTGCTGACTGTACATTACATTACTGTATTCCATAATAAGTATTATTTAATAATTTAGGTTATAACTGGTTTTGTTTTCTCTCTTTTATACTGGTTGTTTTTACTGTATTAAGTACAGGTTGTACCTCTCTAGTCCGGCAACCTCGGGACCTGACCGGTACCGGACCATGGAAATTCACCCATTTCCTGGATAGATAGTGACTTGTTCTTATGCTTGGAAGCACTAGCACCACTTTCTCTGCATCACGGTCTCTTTGAAGACATATTGAAGGGTTAAGTGTCGTATAGTAGCTTCTCAAATTTGTGATTTTAATTCAACGTATTTTATACACGTACAAAAAAAAAAAAAAATTTGAGGCGGAAACTTGAATTTCGACAGGTTTGAACGGCCATAGCGTGAAGACGGCGGCATAATCGTGTAAACAGCGCCATTTCTCTGATGTACAAAAGATTCATTATTGTTTATTACTGAATGCTTTTTTATTGAATTAATGTTTATGTGTGCAAATGAGCAATACAATTCATTAATAATCGAGAATATTAAAACCTAGGAAATGACACGGCATTGTTTTCAGTTGATTACAAAACCAGTGACTGACTGGTTCTACATATAAAACTGAAGAAAATAAGACCTTGGTTGTAGCTGTAGTAAAATTAATATGGTTCCTTTAAGTAATGTTATTTAATGTTAATAAATGGAACAATATAAGTAGCTAACGATAATGGTAAAGAAAAAAAAAAGTCAGCGTATGTAAGTGCTCACATTGAAAACATATTCATTACTTTACATAAGAATATGAAAGCAACACTTATTTACTGTTCATATATATTTTAATTAATGTTTCTGAATTTCTTTTTATTGAATTAATGTTTGTGTGTGCAAAATTAACAATACAATTTGTTAATACACGTGGAATATTAAAACACACGATGAGACGAGACGGCTGCCAGCTATGTTTATGTTAAAGCTTACAAAACCAGTGACATTGGTTCTACAGTACATATAAAACTGAAGAAAATAAGACCCTGATTGTAGCTGTAGTAAAATTAATGTAAAAAAATTAATATGGTTGCTTGAAGTACCTGTAATATTATTTAATGTTAATAAATGGAACAATATAAGTAGCTAACCATTAATGGTAAAAAAAAATGAGACCTATGGCGTATGTAAGTGCATGCATGTGACATATCGTCATTACTCTACATAAGAATATGAAAGCAACACTTATTTACTGCTCATATATATTGAAGGGTTAAATGTTGTACTCTGTATAGACAAGCAGAGAGAGAGAGAGCAGCCGAACTGCTGGATGTAAACAAACCTTAATTTCCCTTGGTTTTGTTGTTGTTGTTTTGGGGATTAGCCCACCCAGGCATAGGTCACTGACCCACATTGGGACCTGAGGCAAAATTTAATACTCCTGTAATAATAATATAATTCAGATAAGTAAAAAAAAAAAAAAAGCTGCCTATCTACCTATTGGACAAACTAAAATCATTCCAGACCACAGAATGCCGGACTAGAGAGGTACAACCTGTACCTCCTAAGTAGGGGCTCATGGCTCTCCGACTTATCTAAGATTCTGACTTATGCGTAACCTCCCCTTGGGTACTTTCAACCACCATTTTGCTGAAAACTCCCTTCCAAAAACAATATTAAAGTGAACAGTATGCTTTTACATTGCCCTTACTTTTATTGTAGCAGATGAATCTTGAGGTGGAGGAGGATGGGGGCTGCTTACACCAATACAGTGGTCCTCTGTTGTGAGCACAATTCATGAAGGTTGCTCGTTAACAGCATTCATTTTCAATGGGTTTTTGGGTAATTGGTTCCAGCTCACCGAAAATTACATACAAACTAAAAATAAATGCAGTAAAGTACACTTACTTTGAGGTGTGTGTATGTAGAAGGCTCCTGGTTGATGATGATGATGATGATGATGATGATGGGAATTAGAATGGGGTGGAGGAGAAGGGAGAAGAAGGCATGGGGTTGAAGACAAGTTGCCCCATGCTGCCATTTCACCCATAAAATTTTAGTTCACTTGGTGTAATTCAAGATTATTTTCTTTAAATCAACACTGCACTGCACCATATATTATCAATATGTAAAATATATTTCAAAATGACCAATAATTTGACTGGAAACACAGAAAAAAAGTGCTTATGTTGAAGAGTTTCAAACAAGATGTTCCTTCCTCTGAACCTGTAAACAAACTGACGCCAAGCTTGGTGTGTTGAGTGGCTGTTTGGCGCGCAAAAAAATAGTTTCATGTACTTCATTTATGCTCAATAATTGTTAAAATGACTAAAAAATCTAATATAAAACTTTTAAAATAATTGAATAGTACAACCCTCTTGATACTCAAATGTTAAGGAATTTAAGCCCTAAAACCGATTACTGTATTGGTGGACTAATACTACAGCTGGTGAGCAGGCAAATGCAGGCGAAAACATGTTGGGAAAAATTAAATTCATTAACCGAAATTTTTTCGTTAACCGAAGTGAAGAATCTTATGGAAGGCAATTCGTTAACCGAGGTGCTCATTAACCGAGATCACTGTATTTACACTTATAGTATTTATTTTGCACTTAAATTTACCTGATGTAAAAAGTGTTCCATTTTAGCCCACACTCCTCATAAATACAGTAATATTCATGGAGATGCCAGCATCAATTTTCTCTCGTATTTTCAGTTTCTCTTCAATTAGTAGGGGTCAGTGGTGTTGTTTTGCCTTTACATGCTTTAGAGGCCATAATAATACACTAGGGAAGCACAAAATACAAACAACAAATCACAGTGTGTGTGGTGAGCTGTGGTTGTGACAACAAATATACAGGAACTGATACCTCATGTGATGCCCCTACCCCCACTCCCCCAAGACAGAGCCTAGTTTAACTCATGGGTTTTCCGACACAAAATTTCTCAAATACACTAAAGATCCTGAGTATTCAGACAGAATCCGCTGTTTAGATGTCCATATCAGCAGGGAGGCACAACAGCCAGCATTCAGTGGACAACCGATCGGGATTAAAATGGGGCAGCCACCTGTCTGAAAAAGCCGATTGACCATATCTTCCGGTGAATGTACTAAGTGTATAAGAATGATAAATAATGATATAAAAAACACCAAATACTGTACCGTACTGCAGCCTTAATTTTCTTAAAATAATATATACAGTACCAGTAAATGTGAGGAATAAATAAAAATAATACCAGTACTGTAAATAAGTTACAACAAAAATACAGTAAAGCCTCTAATAACAGCGGTAATGTGTCCTCCATTGTTGCAGTGTAAGGTGAATAACGAGAGAATCATTAATTACCATTAAAAAAAGCAATAATAATGAGATGTGTTCCCCAGTGTGACCTTTAAATAACTTTTGTGTGGCTTTTTATCCTCTTTTCCCCCAAAACAATACAATCAATGAAAAATGCAAACTATATTCTTTAAATAATGTTTCTGAATGCACCTCATGTAATATAAATCAATAATAATAAGATCACACTGGAGGAGATAGGATGCTATTGTTGTTATCAGTGTTTACACCCATAATGTCAGTTATCCATCTGAAACTGAAGAAAAGACCCTGGTTGTTGCTGTAGTAAAATTAATGTAAAAAAATATGTTTTTTTAATTAATGTTACTTAATGTACAGTAAAGGCATGTCCACAAACCCCTCACCACCCAATTGATGTGCAACACTCACAATGTCGTTCAAATCCTTTACTATGGATGAAAACCCCTGGAAGTTATTCACAAACTCAGGCCATAAGGTTTGCCAACAAGTGTTCACTGTCTCTGGTTTGAGTTGCTTGAATGCTTCACTGATATTGGTAATGCAGTTCCGCTTCTGTACTCCTTCCAACACTTGCTAACATCAAGGTCTATGTCTATGGCATTACGGATACAACCAAAAGAGCATCGGGTGTAATATGCCCTGAAGGTATGTATTGCACCCTCAATGAGAGGCTAAACAGCAAACTTTCTGGGTGGCCTGGGGCATTGTCTATCAATAATAATACCTTGAATTCCATCTTCGTGGAAGCAAGGTATTTTTCCAATTCCGGGACGAATATTTATGGAACCAATCCTGGAATGCTTGCACAGTCACCCATGCCTTTTTGTATGACTGCCAAAAAACTGGCAAAAGGTTCTTGTTTTTCCCTTTAAAGCCCTAAGGTTTGCTGAGCAGTAAAGCAAGCGGTTTGATCATGTGGCCACTGCACTGCCACAGAAGATGAGCGGCCACTGTCCTTGCCTGCCTTAAACCCAGGGGCACGCCTCTCCTGCTTGCTCATGTAATGCTCTGACTGCACATTTCTTTCCAGTATAGACCAGATTCAATATATATATATATATATATATATATATATATATATATATATATATATATATATATATATATATATATATATATATATATATATATATATATATATATATATATATATAAGCATCATTCCTCTAATTTTTTTTCTTTTACAGAAAAATTCTAAAGCACGGCGTGAAGACTATATGAGGAAATTATCTTCAATCCAGATCAAATATGATAAGGATATAGAACAATATTACCATGACCGAGATGAAAAATTAAAACTCGAGGAACATCGTCTTAGACAACAAGAGGAAGATGCCAGCCTGGCTGTTAAACAGTGCAGTAAGTTTCCTTTAGAGTATCATCTACTTCTCTCCTAAACTGTTCACTTTACATTATTAGCATGGCATGCTTTATACATCACTGAGTATTACTCATGTAGCATCATGGTTCAAATATTAGTTACAAAGTGTTACCTGAAACATGGACCTGTAAAGGTGGTCAAGTTATGAGACTTTGATGACTATATATATATATATATATATATATATATATATATATATATATATATATATATATATATATATATATATATATATATATATATATATATATATATATATATATATATATATATATATATATATATTATTATTATGAGTCTGTATAACCATGTTTTGGTAACTTAATTTGCTTCAACGATTTATGAAT